CCCCTCTCCAGATGCAGCACTCTGAAGGTGCTGAGGTACATTACATTGACGGAGCTGCCCGTGTCAACGTAAGTTCGGTGAATGATGGTGTCGTTGATCTCCGTTCGAATCACCAAGGCATCCCGGTGAGGAGAAGAAGTAGGAGGGAGATCTGCGTTGGTGAAGGTGATGGGTTCCTCCCTCAATCGCTTTACCGGGGGCATATGAGTGACTTCCCCAACGTAAAGCGATTGAGCCCACTTCTTTCGCTGGGTGGTGGAATCGCCCCCTGTGTTGCCACCGGTGATCATGAGGATGTGGCGTTTTTTCTCCTGGTAGTGGGGGTATTCCTCCTCCTCTTCTTCCAAGTTTCCAATCTCCCTTTTCTTGCCGAGGGGGATGGTGTTCGGATTCACCCAGGCATTTACCTTCGTGTGATGCCCTCGGGGAGGCCCCTGATGAGAAGGTCCCTCCTGCCGAGGGCTCTGGACAAATTGGGACAGGTGCCCCGCTTGTATCAATCTCTCGATGGCCGTCTTCAGTTGATGGCAGTCATCGGTCCTGTGCCCCTGGTGCCGATGGAAGCGACAGTAGGGGAACTGAGGGTTGATAGCGTGTACCTCCGGGGGTGCGCGAGAATCGCGTTCAACGAGGCCCCTCTCCTCTGCAAAATCGAGGATGATGCTGACGGGGTGCGTCAATGGGGTCCGAGGGCGGTCCAGGAGAATGGGCTGGGCCCAAGTCTTAGGGTTGCTCCTATAACCTCCCCCGGGCTTGGCTTGGCCTTGCCGAGGGCGGTCATCAGAGGGTCCCGAAGCCTTGGGGCGATTAGGAGGAGCCCCCGGCCCTCGGTTGTGCTTGTTGTCAGCCCTCGGGGGCTGCTGGTCCGGATGCTGGTGATACTTCTCCACCTCCTCGGCCTCAGCATATCTGTCCCCCCGCTGCAAGGCCCTTATGTAGTCGCGGGGAGGTTCAATGATGAGGCTCCTTGAAAAGTTGCCGGTGCGGAGGACGGTTTGTAGGAGGGCCAGGAGGGTCCCGTCATCAGCACCGTCGACCTTGTCGGCCTCCGTCCTCCAGCGCTCCAGGAAATCCCGAAGGGTCTCATCCTTCTTTTGGCGTATTGTTAGGAGGTGGGAGAAGTGCTTCCTTGTGCGACGCCTCCCGGCAAATTGTGTTAAGAACCGCTGGGCGAGTTCTTGCAATGAATCAATACAGCCCTCGGGCAGCCTGTTGAACCATTCGTATGCTGGTCCCTCTAAGGTGGAGAGGAACCAACGACACAAATATTCGTCTGACGCCCCCACCATCATCATGCTGTTCTGGTACTTGCTGTAATGCTCCTGGGGGTCCGTTTTTCCGCTGTAGGGCTGTATGTGTTGCCCTCGGTATTTCTCCGGGATCCGGGCCGCCAATACCCTTGGGGTAAATGGCGTCCGAGTCCGGAGCTGGATGACGGGTTCCCCGGAGCCCTCGGCCACCTTCTTCTGTAACTCCTCCATTTTGGCCATCATGGCCTCGTATTTGAGATCTGAGTGAGGGGTGGAGGTGGTGGCGTGAGCTTTGTTGGACTCCATCTCGTCAAGCCGGCGTTGGAGGGCCGCAATGATCTCGTCCCGGGGGTCCCTTGGGAGGGTCTCCGCCCCCTGCGAACGAACCCGGGCCGAGTGGGCCTGGTTGATTTGGTGCCGGGCATCATCGGCATGAAGGGGTGCCTTGCCTTTGTCCCGAGGGGGACGCTCCTCGTCTGCCCTCGAAACTGATCCCCCGCTTTCCTGGGGCCTTTGGAGTGCTTTCCCCCCGAGGCGGTCTTGGACCCCTCGGCGGTCTGGCCCTCCTCCGAGCCGGTTGAGGGCGGAAGTACGGGGCCTTTCCCTGTTGTCATTATGGCGGTCCCGGGACTGAACTTCCTGGGAGGACGTATCTTGGGCCACCACCCCTTCGTCGTTCCTCACCCGAGGGGTGGGATTTCCGAAGGGGTGTGGCAGAGGGGGAAGTATGATGTTTCCCCCGATCTGAGGGTGAGCTGGAGCCAGGGTGCCGAAGGCCCCCAGGTTCTGGGTGAGCGTCTGGATGAAGGCGGAGAGCGCCGATTGTACGTCGATGGTGAGAACCGGAGGGCTGACTTGGTCATCGCTCCGGTTTTTCTTCTTGGCCTCGATGCCGAGGCGGGCATCGGGGGCATTTTGTTGGATCTGGAGGCGTAGGTCGACAGCCGCCTGTTCCAGCCCAGCGATGACACCGCCCTCGGGAGCCCTGTGAGAGGCTTCGGGGGCGTTGACGTCGCCGAGGGGCAGGTTCTTGTCTTCTACGTTCTTTGAGTTGGCACGAGTTGTCCTCACCATTTTGATAGAGGGCTAGTGTTTTGTGTTTGGTCGAGGGGGAGGGTTTCTTACTTGATTGTTCAACCTCTCAATGAAAGCACCAAATGATGGATAGTCTACCCGGGGATATATATCCGAAGGGTTATTACGGGGAGTAATCTAGAGAGAAGTCAGAGCAAGTAAATATGGAGAGAGAGAGTGTATTATAAATGTGGGGCGTTTTCAGCGTGGTTACAAATGGGGAAATGGGGTGCTATTTATAGTAGCAATAAATGCCGGGCAGGGACACGTGTCAAGCGCTCATTGGCCGAGGGGTCACCTCAACTGGTTGGCGCTGGCAGCCGCATGTGGCCGCATTTAATGCGGCTGTTGGACGGGACGTCTGTGCGGGGTACGGTGATCTGTACGCATGTGAGGCAGATATCTTGTCGAGTGAGGTGCCTTCGGCTATAGAGCAGTAGCCGAGGGCTCTTCCTCCCGATGGCACCCCTGGTGCCGAGGGCTCACAGTGCCGAGGGCTACTGTTTTCGCCGTTTTCTCCCAGTTTCTTAGTTTGCTTGAGAAACCCGCTCTGCGATAATTTGGAGCCTTCGGACAGGGGGCCGAAGGCACCCCTGTGCGTTGTGCGGACTGCTTGGTACTCTGGGCGCTGTGATTTGGGCCTGTTGGGCCTGTTGGGCCTTTGATGGAGTAGTAGGAGTCTGTGGGCCGGGGGTTCCCGGGCCATATACTCCATCAGATTTTAAATTTGATTTTCTTTAATTTTCGCAGCCCAATTCTTCTGACAATTTTGTTTTTTTTATTTGAGAGGTTGATGACAACGACTTAGAGTTTACTAGTGAACACATGTGTTTGAGAAGCTGAACATCTGGACATCTGGTCTTTTTACGTTCTTATCAGTTTTCCATCTGGTAAAGGCTTATCAGCCCCATAAGTGTCCAACTTTTCACCAAACACTTATCATATTTGAAGTAATAATTGAGATAGAAGTATAGAGGGGGTGTATTATATTAGGAATTAGTGGCAAAATTTTAAAAGTCAATGGATTTTAAAAGTTTAGGTGTATTCAATGTGGACTTTTAAAAGTCTACAAAAGTTTAGGTGTATTCAATGTAGACTTTTAAAAGTCTATAAAAGTCTAGGCATATTCAAAGTTCCGTTCATTCTTATGGATATCTAAAATCATGGATTCTCGTGGACTTTTAACTCATTTTTAGTACATTAATTCTCTTCGATTGTCTCTTCTCCTCACTAAAGATTTTCGTGGACTTTTCTCATATCGGTTCTTCATCCCGTCCCCACACCCCACCCTGCCAACTCTCCTCTTCTTTAGCCTAGTCACCCCTTCCCCTTCGATCTTTCTTCTTCTTCAGCCTAGCTCGCTCCACCCCTCTCCTTCCATTCTTTTTCTTCTTCAACTTGTCCCACCCCCTCGATTCGTTAATCCCATACTGGTTCGATTCTAGAACTTTGTGTTGCTATATGAATTACATTTGTTTCATTTATTTATTTATTTATTTATTTATTTATTTGTTTGTCTATTTGTTTCTTATCATACTCTGTATTATACAGAGGAAATTATTCAGGGTAGGACTAAAACATACGGAGTAACATTCTTCTTAAAGTATGATCATATGTTTGATTTTCCTTAAATAGGACTAGATATTACATATTCACCCCTAATTTAATTAATTAATATAAGTAATTGTCCATAATTCCCTTGCGTAACCAAATCGACTTTGTTGGTGGCGGATCAGTCCGATAACGACAACGGGGAACTCAAGTGATGGAGGCGGACGGGCAGATCGGTAGTGACGGTCTAGTTGAAAATTTCGACGACCAGCAGTGGTACAGTGGTTCGCATTTAAAAGTCTATGGACTTTTTGAAAGTCAATAAACTTATCCATGGATTTAAAGTCCATAGAATTCATTCATAAAAAAGTCTATGGATTTAAAAGTCCATTGACTTTTTTAAAAGTACACGGATTAAAAAAAATCCACGGATTAAAAAAATACACCACAATCCATATTCAATACATCCCCTTAAGTGTATAACATGTTGAAATTCAAAAGCATAATTGTTTTTTATCTTCTTCTATTTTGGAAATGTGCAATTGTGATAATAATGTATAATAAGTGACATACCATATAAAACTTCTGAGTAGTTGACTGATAGGCCCTTTGGGTAAATCTTAACAATTATCCTTTACTGAATTCGGAGCTAAAAGATTTGCAAAAAACAAAAGTAATACTCAATTTTGTAAATGGTCGTGGTGCTTTCTACAAGTTCTTTAGGATATTTTTTTTACTATGGAGCAAGAATTATTTGACATTTTCATAAACATTTCAATATAGGCCTATATAATGTTCGCGCTAATTGCAACACTTTCCTTTTTAGATTGACTCCATCTAGAATGTAGAGCGAGGTCATTAATGGAAGGATTAGCAAGTCCTTGTTATTATTCTAGTTATGGGGCGTTCGTATTGAAATACACCAATAACACCATTTAACTTCTCACTTCTTTTCCCAACGATATATTTTCCACCCTTGTTTGAGAGAAGGCAGTTCAATACTCCCACTCTCTTTGTGATTGTGGTGGAAGTTCTTCCTAGAAACATTGATGCTCTTATGAATGAATCATATAAGTTTCTAGCCTGTACTTATGGTGGTTTTGTGGAGGTCTCACCTTGGATTTGTTTTTTTGAAAGGAAATAGCTTATATTAAAATCAAGCGAATCAAAGTAACAAGTATGTTCCAAGACCTACATCTCCATCTCTCCAAACAAAATCAAAAGCGCATCGGTCCTCTCACGTGATGATCAAGCATAGAATAGTCTAGAATAGTTCACCCCGAATAAAGCGAGACTAATCGCTAAAACGGTGAGAGCAAAGAGGCTATTAACGGCTGAGTTAGCCTGATGACCTCCCAACAGAAACATATCTAATGAAATAAAACAAGCAAAAATCCTACCCCTCAATGTTCGAAATAGCAATAACAACAGAGTTCAAAATTAAACAACTCCAAAAGAGTAAAACAAAATTAAATAAAATAAACTTATGGAGCAACCGAATATGTACTTCATGCGCCATCCTCCATGGCCGCAGTTCTGGAGGGGTGCGGGTCATCAACCCTTCCTCTTCTTTCTCCAAGAAATTTTCATGCCACTTAATCTGGTCCGCCCCTAAAAAACCACCTCCACAAGCCCTGAATTTTGTCGATCCTGGACCTTCCACCTTTTATATTGGCATAGTAGTTTGCTGCCGCCTTCTCCTGCAGTCCCTGTTGATCCATTTGTGAGTGTCGCCCTTCCCCACAACCGAGCCTGGACAGTCTCTTCCCTCGGCTGCGTTGAAATGGTCGAGCGATTGGATATCGCCGACCCCAAACTTCCGCAGACTAGAGTCTAGAACCCTAGCTGCGCGGTCCGTGTATGGACTTCTATAGTTCTATTCAGCATAAGATCATTTCCAACTCCACGCAGTAATTCGTGAATCAAGCCCTCACCTTGGATTTTTTAATGATGTAATTCTCTTTTCCAATGGTAAAAATCCATAGTCAAGAAAATTCGTTGTTCATTTGATGATTTCTTTCATTCTTCCAAGAAAGCAAGCAATGGAGCTAAGAGCTCATTTATCACTTCTAAAAATCATTGCATATCAATTTCGGAGGAAGTTATTGAACTTTGCTATTAATGATTTGGGAGTTACTCAAGAAGTGTAGATAGATGTTATTTGAAGGCTTCTCTATTTGATAATCTCACTGGCAAAATCAAATCCATGATTATGCTCCACAAAAAGCACATCTTTTTATGGCTGGAAGCCTTATCCTCATTAAGTATGTGGCTAGTTTCCATGCCACTTTACTTGTTTCAGGTTATTCCTCCACCTAACAGTGACTGTAAAAGACTAGAGCTTCTCCTTGGTTCTTTTATATGGGGTGATAAGTCTAACAACAAAAAGACTCGTCGTAAATTTGTGCAACAAGTGTATCCAATTCCTTATGTGCAAATGTGCAAGCTATGATGCAATATGAAGTGTAACAATATAATTCTCTTTGGAGCAATGTGATGATGAGTAAGGATGTTTTCTTTTAGATTGAAATTTGTTGGTCTGGTCTGATCTGGTCTGAACTGGTCTCTGTGTATTTTATAACTCTGGAAGTCTAGTCTGAGACTGAAAACAGTCCAAAAAAAACATCCTAAATGTTGCAAGCATTCTCTTCCCATTCTCTTCCATCTTTAGTTAATACTAAGACAAGGTATCCTTCTCTATCTAGAAAATTAGAAAGAAGAATTAACTTTTGAAAAGAAATGCGACTTAATTTCTGGAAATAACTAGATCAATTTTGATGTTCAAGCACATAATTTGATTGCCCTAAAGTTACTATAAATTTGATTACTTACAAAATTATCTTTCTCAGAGGGCAGCTTAGGACTCAGTTAAAATGAATGGGGATGCTAGGGGTTGCCTTAAAGGTAGCCATAGAGTGTGAGGGGTCTTTTACTAATTAAGACCTTCATTTAGGAAATTGAAACAAGAAATGTTGCCATTTATGAAGTAGATGTTATCTTCACATTGATGAAGCTTGTAAGCAGGTTAATCTAAACAAAGTTATCATTAAATGTGATTCTGTATGTGAAATTGATCTTTCCAATGGTTGAGCAGAAGCAGCTGGAATGAAGCCATGTTGACACTCAAGATGAGTCTACTATTAAACAATTCACAATCTATTCACTGCACAATAAAATTCATTTACCTTGGAACAAAAGACGACATATTTGTTTGTCCAGAACATGCATGGAAGAACTTGCTATTATATTGTGTGTATTTTACTTCAGGTCAATCAATATGTGTCAAGTTATCCCCAATATAACTTTTGAAGTAATTAGTAACACACTCTGCACTCTTTCCATTAATTTTCTTTTTAGAGTTCCATTAAAAATAATTTTGTTAGCGCCAATCCAACGTCTAGGCGTCTAGGTGGGGACTAGTCGAAGACACATAAATTGTATTTTTATCAATATTTTTGCATAATTATGATAAGTAATACATCGCAAAATTGTAGTATTGTGTTTGTGTGTGTATGAAAAATATATAGGCATACATTAGTATGCATGAATATAATGACAAAATTGTCACATGCAATAATATATGATAACTAATCACTTAACTGCATTATGTTATAAATACTACGTATTAAATAATAATAAAATTTACGTATATATACAAACATATATAGTTTTGTCTTAATTTCCAAGAATCTTTCTTCATATTCGTGATTAAAGTTAAAGGTGCATATATCTCTTACAAAAAAAATCAAAAGTAAAAAATTGTTCAACGAATCTAGACGCCGTAGGGTTAGGTGCTCTGGGCAGGTAACTAGGCGCCCTAGGTGACCGACTAATTCACCTAGGCACCAAACAAATTAATCGAGGCGCCTAGACAAAAATCGGGGCGTCCGGTTACCGCTTAGCGTCTAGACAGAGACTAGTCGGCCGCCTAGAGCGATTTTTAGACTAGTGGTTAGGATATTGTAGGAGCTTTCAAGTTGTGTACGTAATGTGTGTAAAAAGATGCAATATTATGGGCAGGGGCGGACCGTAGTAGAGACCCAGGGGGGCTACCGCCCCCCCAACAATTTTTTTTAGTGTATATATATACGAAAAATAATTTTTGCTCTTCCAAAAAGTATTTTGAACCCCCCAAAAATATTTTCGCCCCCCCCAAAATGACTTTCCTGGGTCCGCCCCTGATTATGGGGAATGGACTTTTGATTTCTTGTACCAATAGGTCTTGTTGATTTCACAATTCTATTGCTTACAATAAATGGTATTGGACACTATTCTACACGTGCAACACTAGTCGAACAGTATGAAATGTTAAGTTTATATTTACTAGTATGTTTAATACACATTAAATTTGTTAATTAAATATTAATTAATTATTTTTTAATTAAATTTAATGTTAATTGTTTGATCATTACATTTTTATGTGAATTAGTAGTTTAAATGGACTTAATCATGTGTGTGTATAACATGAAAAATAAAACGATTTTATTTAAACTTAACATTAAACGGACTTATTTTTTTTTAATTAAATATTAATTAATTAATTTTTTAATTAAATTTAATGTTAATTGTTTGATCATTACATTTTTTATGTGAATTAGTAGTTTAAATGGACTTAATCATGTGTGTGTATAACAAAGTACTGATAAAACGATTTTATTTTAGTTTTACTGTAAATCTCTCCATTCCTAAATAAACTTCACACTTTGATTTTACGGTTTTTAAGAAAGTGAAATTTTTGTTTTTGACTTTCCTATCATACCGAGACAGAAAGTAAATAGAGTGTAATGCGAGAGAGAACATAAGTGTAAAGTGGTAATGAAGTAAGGATATAAGGGTACATTTATATGTATTATTAAAAACATGTCAAAAATAGAAGTGTGAAGTTTATTTTGGATATACCCAAAAAAGAAAGTGTGAAGTTTATTTAGGACCAGATGAAGTATATGTATGTTTGTGTGCACTGGCATATGTATGACTTGTTGGAATACATCCATGAATACTTTAATCTTCATATTGAAATTATCTAGAGAAATAACTGAGCGGAAGCGTACCTGACTCCATTGGAGGTGATCTTTAGAGATCCGGGAGAAGGAGGCTAGAGTTTACGTCTTCTAGTTGATACACACCCTCAGGATTCTCTCTAACGATGAGATGCAGAAAGACGGAATGACGTGTTCAACTAGGGACCATAACCCCTTTATTTATAGAGAATGCTTAACCCTAATCAGCCCATCATTAATTAGGTTAAGCCCATGGGTCTCTACATATTTGGGCCCTATACCTTATTAGACAACTTATTAGTCCACTTAAATTAATATCCATAGGACCACTAATTTTTTTGGCCCTAAATATAAGATAGCATATAACATACAATTAAACCCGATAAATAATATACTGTGAATATTACATGTAGTATAAGTCCAATAATCTAACAATCTCCCACTTGGACGACATACACATGTATACACAATCCTTAGAATTGTATGTTTACTTTAGGAGCTCCAAAATTTTGCTATCAAACTGTAGTAATCTTTAATCAATCTGGTCCATTAATTATATCAACATAGGACCAAAGAAGTCTTTGCTATATTTGAATAACTAGACCCATCAATGATCACATACATTAACATAATAAACGACATGGATCAAGTATAGGTGTGTAGCGTGGAAATAACAAAAAGTGTGGTCTGGAATAGAAGGTCTATTTCCAACTGGTCCACCTTGAGATCAATAATATAACAGTAAGAGTACATAAAACTTTAAACTTTATTTTTGCAGAAAATAACATTAAAACTTGAGTTAACCAAATATAGAAACATTACAAACTCGCACTAAAACTCATAGACCTCAACTGATTTGACACCCATTTGAGCAACATGCTCATGAAACACTTTGGGTGGTAATCCTTTAGTGAGCGGATCTGCAATCATGGAGTTTGTGCTAATGTGTTCTATAGACAAATTTTCTTCTTGTACTCGTTCTTTAACAGCTTTAAATTTGACCTCAACGTGTTTTGTCTTGGTCAAACTACTGCTGTTCTTAGCATAAAGGACTGGTGACCTATTGTCACACAATAACTTAAGTGGTCTTTCAATGTTGTCCACCATGCGCAGTCCACTAACAAAATCTCGCAGCCATAATGCCTGATTGGATGCCTCATAACATGCTATAAACTTTGCTTCCATGGCGGAAGTAGCTGTAAGAGTCCGCTTGATACTCCTCCAGGAGATAGCTCCTCCAGCTAGAATATAGATGTAGCCTGAAGTGGATCTCAAATCATCTTGACATCTAGCAAAATCAGAGTCGATATACCCAATGATCACAAGTTGATCCGATCTCCGATATGTGAGCATATATTCCTTTGTTCTCTGTAAATACCGCATGACCCTTTTGGCTGCTTTCCAATGGTCCATTCCCGGATTGCTCAAATATCTGCCTAACATCCCAATAATGTATGCCAAATCAGGTCTTGTACAAATCTGGGCATACATCAAACTTCCTACAGCCGAAGCATAGGGAATGTTCCTCATTTCTTTAGATCCAAAACCATTCTTAGGGTACTGCATGAGACTAAACTTGTCTCCCTTAGAAATTGGGGTATCTCCCGGTTTGCAGCCTTGCATACCAAACCTTTTGAGAACCTTATCGATCTAGCTCTTTTGTGAGAGTCCAAAAACGCCTTTGTAGCGATCCCGGTGTATTTGAATTCCTAATACAAAAGAAGCCTCACCAAGATCTTTCATTTCAAAATTCTTTGAAAGAAATCTCTTAGTTTCGTGCAATAAGCCTATATCGTTACTAGAAAGCAGTATGTCATCAACATACAAGACCAGGAAAATATGCTTACTTCTATTGAACTTGTGGTATATACAATCATCACTGACGTTTGGTTGAAAACCAAAAGATATAATGACTTTATGAAACTTGTGATACCACTCACGAGAAGCCTGTTTGAGCGCATAGATGAATTTCTTTAATTTGCAAACCATTTTCTTTGAATCTCACGAAACAATGTTTTCTGGTTGCTCCATATAGATTGATTCCTCAATGTCACCATTGAGAAATGCAGTTTTTACACCCATCTGATGAAGCTCAAGATCAAAATGTGCCACTAATGTCATTATTGTTCTAAAAGAGTCTTTCGAGGATACCAGAGAGAAAGTCTCTTTATAGTCAATTCCTTTCTTTTAGTGTAGCCTTTAACAACAAGACGAGCTTTAAACCTTGTAACTTTGCCCTTTGAATTCCTCTTGATTTTAAATATCCATTTACAACCAATGGGTTTAATACCTTCAGGCAATGAGACTAACTCCCAAATGTTATTGTCACTTATAGACTTCATCTCATCTTTCATGGCATTAATCCATTCTTGAGAGTTAGAACTTTCCACGGCTTAACGGAAGTTGATTGGATCATCTTCCGCAAAACCAACGTCTGATTCTTGTTCTTGGAGGAAGATAATCATTTCTTCCACCGATTCCCAATTTTCCTCATGTTCTTGGAGAAATACAATATAATCATTCGGAATTGCACT